GAGGACCGCAAATTCCCCCCTCAGTGGTCGAGAACGCCCTCGACCTTGTCTCCCGCAACTCATCCCTCACACCCCCTACCCACAACAACAACCAAAACAGAATCCCCCTCATCCTCACGTACCACACCACCAACCTCCAAATCCAACGCATCATCCTCTGACACTTCCGCCATCTGTAATCCGACCCCACCACCAAAGACATTTTTCCCTCCCCACCCTTATCTGCTTTCCGGAGGGACCACTCTCTGTGACTCTTGTCTGCTCCACACTCCCCTCCAGCCTCACCACACCTGGTACTTTTCCTTACAACTGCAGGAAGTGCTACACCTGCCCCTACTCCTCCCCCCTCACCCTCATCCCAGGCACCAAGAAGACTTTCTACATCAAGCAGATGTTCACCTGTACATCTGCTAATATGGTATACTGTATCCGCTGTTCCCGTTGTGGCCTCTACTACAGAGGAACCAAGCGGAGGCTTGGGGACTGCTTTGCAGAACACCTACGTTCGGTTCGCACTAAACAACTGCACCTCCCACTCGCGAACCATTTCAACTCCCCCTCCCATTCCTCAGATGAGATGTCCATCCTGGGCCTCCTGCACTGGCACAACGATGCCACCCGAAGGTTGCAGGAACAGCACCTCGTATTTCGCTTGGGAACCCTGCGGCCCAATGGTATCAACGTGGACTTCATAAGCTTCAAAATCTCCCCTCCCACTACAGCATCCCAAAACTAGCCCAGCTTGTCCCCGCCTCCCTAACCTGTCCTTCCTCCCACCTATCCCCTCCTCCCACCTCAAGCCCCAACCCCATCTCCTACCTACTAGCCTCATCCCACCCCCTTGACCTGTCCATCCTCCCTGGACTGACCTATCCCCTCCCTAACTCCCCACCTACACTCACCTTTACTGGCTCCATACCCGCCTCTTTGACCTGTGTCTCCTCTCCACCTATCTTCTCCTCTATCCATCTTCTATCCGCCTCCCCCTCTATTTCAGAACCTCCTTCCCCTCCCCCATTTCTGAAGAAGGGTCCAGGCCCAAAATGTCAGCTTTCCTGCTCGGCCTGATGTGTTCATCCAGCTCTACACCTTGTTATCTCAAGTAACCACGATAATCTTATTTGAATTGGACAGAGAAGATGAAGGTTCAAAATTAATATACTTTTCCTATACCTCAATGAAAACGTGGAGGAAAAGAATGGTGTCACAGCACAGTGGCTCAGCTGTTAACACTGCTGCCTCACAGCACCAGGGACGTGGGTTCAATTCCACCTTCAGGTAACTATGTGGGTTTACTTCCAATTGGCCATGCTGAATTACCCATAGTTTTCAGTGATGTGTAGGTTAGGTGCACTAACCATGCGAAATGCAGGGCTATAGACAAGGAGGCGGAAGAGGGGAGATGGATCTGGCTTGAATGGTCTGACGCTCAGTATGGGCTTGTTGAGCCGAACAGGCTGTTTCCACATCGTGGAGACTCCATCCCTTACGGAAAAGTATTCTGGGTGGTGTCCATTTTGTCCTTCAAAACAGAGTTGAGCAAACACCTAATACAACAACGGAGTTCCACGTGGATAAATAAAGACAGACTGAGGAAGTAAGTCATTCTGGGATACTGCATGGGAACACAATCACCTGACTGGCAAGTGTGCCTCAGAGAGGAACAGGACCCTGACTTGGAACCATAGTCACTATTTAAAAATAACCTGCTGCTGGATCAGAGAAGTCAGAACTCCCTTTCTCACAGCACTGTGGGATAGCTACACCAAATGAAATATTATGCAAGTAACTGAATTGCTTTCAGTTTCCTTTCGAGAAAGGAAAGGAGATTTGATAGATGTTCCAAATTATGAAGGGTCTCTACAGAATAAAGACAATGTTTCTAATACTGTTGGCCCAATAGCAACGAGGGTCACTGATTCAAGGCAATTAATAATCAATACTGACAGAAGAAAAAACCCTTCATGTGATAAGTCATTCAGATTTGAATTCACTACCCAAAAAGCAGAGAAAATTGATTTAAAAAGATAGCTTTAAAAGGCATTTAACAAATATTGCAGAGGCAAGAAAAAATGTGGGAGGTAGAACAAATCAAGAGCCAGCACTACCTAAATTTGATGATCACCTCCTATGCTGAAACATTTCTAAATAAAACTTAGCTAACTAAACCTATAATTCAACAATGACAACATATAGTCTTTCTTGATTAGGTGTGCAGGTAAAGGGCCCAAAAACATGACTGACCTACTGATGTAGCACATCCTTGCAGCTATTAGTAATGAACAGGTTGTACTCATGGAACTAAACAATCCTGAAACACAGCTGTTGCTGCAGAAATTCAACCCATTTCAGTTCAGGGCCAAGAGTGCTGATTATGTGCAATCACTGACACGAGTTTCACAAACATTTCCCCATTCTTAACTAAGTGTTAGCCATCTCTAAAAAGGTTTAGATTATAACAGTAATTTATGGCACAAAAGTCAAGGGGCTGAGTATTTCAAATTAGAACAGAAAGCATCATAAATATAAACAAAGATTTAAAGAACACAGTTAACAACCATTTGCCAAAGCTAAAAGTTACCTTCTACATCAGCAGTCTTAACATCTATAGGTATGTTTGTGAGGATGTAATGAACCTTCAAAAGTAAAACAGAATAAAAAAAGCATTATTTTAGAACATCCTCCTTCATGTTACTTTCTATTTGAAAATTTGTTTCATTTAACACAAGTCTTGTAAGAGATCTATGGCAATGGATTACAGCTAAGTGGTAATATAACAATATACACATGCACAAACAAATTCTTGTAGAAAGTATACACAAAATTAATGTTGTTATTTCCACAACATTATAAAGTGGATCTATTCCTAATCTTAGTACCATTACTACAGAATGCTCAATCACACCTTTGCCACCTTGTGCCTCAATTTTTCCACTGCTCTCTTTGCTACATCCCAAGGTTCACACTTCAAATTTAAATTCATTTGTACTCCATATCATAACTTGTAGAAAAGCCTGTGTTGTAATTTGAATTAACAATCTGAATCCTGTGTAGTTTTGAGCTGTAGAGACAGCCTGTCCAAATGTATGCCACATAGGGTTATTAAAAGGACTGAAAGCCCATGCTTTTTTCCCCCCCAAATCTACAAGACACTAATGTTTTCTGATCTTTATATGACAAATGGGTTTAAGAAAATGGTTTGATTCGTAGTTGTTGTGTTCAAAACAACTAACAAATTTGTTACACAAATATAAATGTTAACATCGTTTTGAATGAATAGTCAGACCTGCAAACCCAAGTATTAATATTTGGATACTCCAAATTGCCTTTCTGGCCAATTTGAAGTTATATCCATCACTCCAATTAATGGGGGTGTCTGGTTTGAGAGATGTTCATTGCATTTGTGGTTTGATTAATACAGCACACATTTGGTAGAAGATCAAGATTAAATAGATAACAGATAAGTATTCTGAAAGGTAATCCCAAAAATTAAGAATGTATCATAACAGAATTCTGCATTTACAATTAGAGATCTCAGGGCAGGGCGAAAAAACGTTTCCTCATTTTCAAATCCTCGGAACAGATGCCTTTTGTTATGTTCATAGTGTGCACTGATAAAGTTGACCACGACCTCAGTTGCAAAGCGAGCCATGAACCTCTGTAAGCGCCCAGGCAATTTCACATCGACACCCTTGGAACAAAACAGAACAATTACCCATTAGCTATTTCAGGATTGACAATCTGAGGGGTATATCCTTTGGCAGTTATTACAAAAAGGGGCAAAAAAAAAAAAAAAAAAAAAAAAAAAAACTGTGGTCATTGTCTTTTGAGAGACACTAAAAAGTAGATTCTGCACTACTTTTGTTTCACTTAGAAACAAAAAGTAGCACAAAAATCTACTTTACTAAGAATTCAAGACAGACCTTTCCCAAACAGTTCACTTCCTCTTAATTCCCACAGAAGTCCACATAATTCTGGTCAGGATTTGTTGCTAAAGTCTTAAAGAAGATGCATGACCCATTATGCAGAAGATACCATTCAGAAAAATAGCAAGTCCAATCCCCAATCCCATATCAAGCACGAAAATGGAGAGGTGGGGCTATTCCTGGTCTTTGGGAGATGTTGAGGAAAATTACTTATAGACCTATCCAGTACAAAATCCAAGGAGGCATATTTCCTTCCATGTTAAAATCCATTCCTAGGCAAGGAATACTGCAAGGCATAACTCACCTTCTGACTCTCCAAATCCTGTTGACCATCCACAACGCACAAGTCAGCAGTGCGATCGAGTACTCCCCACTTGCTTGGATGTGTGCATGATGCAGTTCCAACACCACAAGAAGCTTGATACCACCCAGAACAAAGCGATCCACTTGATAGGCACCACATTCACTCCCTGCACCACAGGCACCTAGTACCAGTCATGTATACCATCTACAAAGATGCACTGCAGAAATTCAAAGCTCCTTAGACAGCACCTTCCAAACACACAGCCATTTCAAGGACAAAAGACAACAGATATACAGGCACACCACCTACAATTCCCCCTATAAACTTAAAGTGTTTACTCCCATTGTTTTTCATAAACTGAATGTGTCTAAAATTACTAAATTCATAAACAGTCAACAGGAAACTAAGATAAGGTTTAAAAAAATTTGTTGCACTTGGACCAAAATGCAGGTGGATTATTTAGAGTCAAGAGTTGTATAGCACGGAAACAGACCCTTCGGTCCAACTTGTCCGTGCTGACCAGATATCCTAAATTAAGTCTAGTCCCATTTTCCAGCATTTGACCCATATCTCTCTAAACCCTTCCTGTTCATATGCCCATCCAAAAGCCTTTTAAGTGTTGTAATTGTACGCACCTCCACCACTTCTTCTGGCAGCTCATTCCATACACACACCACCCTCTGCATGAAAAAGACTGCCCCTCAGGTCCCTTTTAAATCTTTCTCCTCTCACCTTAAACCAATACCCTCTAGTTTTGGCCTCTCCTACCCTGGGAGAAAGGCTTTGGCTGTTCACTGTATCCATGGCCCTCATGATTTTCTTAGCTTCTATAAAAGGTCACCCCTCAGCCTCTGACATGACAGAAAATAGCTATAGGGAGAGGCTGTACAGTCTGAGTCTCAAATACTCCAAGCCCGGCAACATCTTTTTAAGTCTTTTCTGAACCCTTTCAAGCTTAACATCATATTTCCTACAGTGAGGAGACCATAACTGAAATTGAGAATTTTTGCAAAAATATTCAGGAATATCCTCATGTGATGAATTTATAACGATTTCACAGTCAAAATGGGTTGTTATAGCATAGGGCAGGGGAGTAGTTTGGCACAGGAAGTAGTTGAGGCAAAGAATATTGTTGCTTTTAAGATACTTCTAAACAATAGAAAATACAGAGGAAGAAAGCATGGCAATTTAATTAATTCTGAGCACTTTAACATTCTTTTGTTCACAATCAAACATACATAGTCTGCTGCCAAACCAGCTCTTCTCAAAATGAGACATTGATTGAAGGTTCAATAGATGCAAAACCTGCACTTTAGACAGCCTCCTGAATGACACACACAGGGCTAGCACAAACAATTGATCAAATAATCCTCTTTTAAACTAAGTCCAAGCATATCTGCAACTGAAGAGAGGTGGTGGGCTGCCAAATTATAGATCAGGGTCACTAGATTACTCAAACGCATCTAGCCACAAGAGATCAGAATGCTGAAGTAGTTAATCCCTCTCCTGGGCTGTGTTGCAATTTAGTAATTAGAGCACTTTAATTTTGAAAATTTATTTTTACTCAGACTTAGTTGTCTATTTCCTCAGGAAACATTTCAGAAATTGTACTTTGTGCCAGTTTACTCTGTGCTTTTTGTTAAAACAAACCAATTTTCTTTTGAGGAGACAGGTAGCTTCATCTATTTTGCACCATTAACTATTGCAGAATAAAATGCATACCTTGCCACATCCAGGAGTTCAATGAAGAGCCACTCAACACAAAATTCATCTTAAAAGTGTCTTGCATGATAAATAAGTTGAATATCTATTTGATCAGAAGGTTTGCAGTAAAAGTAAAGCCAAGGAGAATTTTCATTTCACTTGTAGCACGAACTCTCAGTTGGTTCTTTCCTCCAAATTAAAGTTCCAAACTTCAAGCCTTTCAGCAGGGCTCTGGTACAAAAATCAAGTTTGACACAACTGTGCATTTCTGAGAAAGTACCATCGTTGAAGATGCTCGTTTAGATGTGGCAGCCAAAAATGAGATACCATTTGCTTGCTTAAGTGGGCACAATGATATTATAGCACTATTTTGAAGATGGGAGAATTCTCCCTCAGGTTGGGCGATATTTCTCTTTAAAAATCACAAAGCAGATATGTGGGTCAGAAACAGAAATTACTGAAGAAACTCAACATGTCTGGTGGCTTCTGTGGGAAGAAAGCAGACATTTTGAGTCCAACAACCCATCAACTGTGTGGGAGCTTGTTGTAAACAAATAGTTGTTTTATTCACAACATTACAACTTAAGTACACTTAAAAGTACTTAATTGTCTGTGAAGGGCTTTGAGGCATTAATTAAAAGCACAGCACATTATATCAATGCAACTCTCCTTTTGTCATATTTACATCAGTAACCCTGGGATTCCCTCTCAATATACATTCAAAATTATTTCAGTCAATTCCCTAATCTGATGCTTCCACGTTGAAGCAACATACCCAACTGAAAAGTTGGGTTATTTAATGTGTTGAAAGGTAATAAAACAGCATGTCAATATCGATGATAAAAGCAGAACCTGCTACAAAACAGGGTCAGGCAGTACTGGAGACTGAAACAGAACTGTAGCTTCAGATTGATCATTTCTCATCAGTTATGGTTTAAAAAAAAGGTCAAAAGGTCGCCGACTTGAAATGTTAACTTTGTTTCTCTCCCCACAGATGCTGCCTGATCTGCGGAATGATTCTGAATTGTAGCTTTTGTTCCCTACAATATAATTGGTCACTAATTTAAATTTGACCATCTCCACGAAATCGGTTTTAACTCAGTTAAAACGGGGCGAAATGTGTAGAAAACCCCAAATGACGAAGAATACTTGAATTAAAAGCTTTGCAGTTTAGCAGCAGCCCAGCCTCAAATTTTATATATTTGTTCAACAATAGCACAGAAGGACACGTTTCTAACGAGCGGGAATTGATAAAACCAGAGCACGGTCCTAGCAATTAAAAATAAGTTAAATCTGGAGACAGGTTTACATTGAATACCTCCTGTCTACTGCAGCAAATATTTCATTAAATAAAAAAGGTCAAAGTAACTTTACCTCTGCCAAAGGCATCTTCAATCTCATCCTCTCAGCTGTTTGGCTTAAGAGCTCAAAGGGAGCATAGATTTTAACAATTCGATACTTGTCTCTGGCTATTTTCCGCCCAGTCTGCGCTTCTTTCTCCCACTCATCCCTGGATATATTGAACTCTAAATGCAGCCCGGTGTTCTGCACTTCTCTCAGAAATTCCTTCCTCTGTTTAGCATAAGGATCACAGCGTCCGTCCTCACATGCATAGACTAATACATAGTCGATAACTGCGATATTTTCCGTCATTTTCGTCCGCATTGCTGACAGCCCCCGGACAGGTTCAACTTAGAAATGAGCTTGTGAGCAAAGTGTCAGCTCCTGCTGGACTGCCCTGTATTTGTACCACAGCGGCTCCCCACTGCATTCGCTGGTGTTGCACTACAAGGGGTTATCTCCAAACTTCACCATTCGCTCTCAAACGCATGCATCTCAACAGATATTCAATTGTTCTCCCTTTCCACTTACATAATAAAGACAGACTGGAAGCTGTTTTTGAACAACTTTCTTTTGTCTAGTTATTTGTTTTGTTGCCCCCACCCCCCACTTCCTACTTGGTGCCTGCGTCATCCTCCGGTTGGCTAGAGAAGGGAGAAAAACATTTCTGCTCAGGTGTACTTACAACCTAGTAAAACTCCTACATGAAACACCTGGGAATAGATCAGAAACCGGTTGAATGCACAGAAGTGACATATACTTTAGAAGGGGAGGGGGGAGTTGGATTGGGTTGTGTTCGGGGACTGGGATGGATCGTGTTCTGCAGAGGGCAAGAGTACAGACTGGGCCCCACAGAACCCAGATCTGATATCACCACTGTTCCTGGGTTAATAAATGATAGACTCAAAAATTAAGTGCAAAGGAGTCAAGTTTGTTGAAATTGCCAAGCAGGAAAACTCAATGGCCATAGCTCAAAAGTCAGTGATTTAGACAATGCAGTTATCTGGGCAGATTAAAAGGGAGTTAGATTAAATATGGTCCTGCAAATAAGCACACATTTTCCAATGAATGGCATTGAACCTAGTTTCCTAATCAATCTGTTCAGAGATGTTATTGTACACCTCTGCAGCAGGTGGGTCTTGAACCTAGGCCTTGTGGCTTGGGGGTAGGGACACTACAACTGTGCCACAGAAGGGCCCATGCTGGTGAAATACCAATGGATGAAGTGGATAGATGCTAGCATACTTAGTATGTTCTATTGCTAAATATTCCCAATCAGTACAAATCAACAAAAACCAACAGGTTGTCAGGAGAAGAAGGGATCCATCTGTCCTGAATCCCCACCCTTTGTGAATAAAAGATGCTAATGTTTTGAATAGATTTCTGAGCAAAATAATGAAAGCAAATTATGATGCACTTATGAAATGACTAGATAGATGTAGATTGACACTTAAGTGTACAATTAATGGATTGCTGCACTGTCAGACGTCCGGACATGTAGGTGGGAAATTGAGACTTTGGTCCATTTTTACTGCCTCAGATGAAGGTTTAAGATTTCAAGAATGCTGTTGAAGAAGAGAAGAGATGTTTTATCTGTGGTCCAGGCTAATATTTATTTCTCATCCTGATATCACGAAATATCACCCATGCTATTTGAAGGATCTCTTTTTTTTCTTTAGGGATCACAATTATGATGATAATATTTCCATCTAGGGAAACCATTTAGTGTAAAAATGGGAATTTCCTTTTAAAACTCTCCTAACATTAAAGATTAGCTACCAAGGGAGGGAGAGACTGTGAGTGTTTCCAAAAGTATACTATGTTGAATGATCAATCAAAACAAATTAACAAATTGAACAAAAATAACTAGTGATAGCCCCTTAGAAGAGTGCAGAGTTTCTTTGGCACAAAATTAATGCTCAGACTAGTTAATAGTGCAACTTGATCCATCCAGCTTTACATTGAATTATACTTGACTGGGCAGGAGGACAAAGTAAGAAAATTGGAGACAAGCCAAGCAAGAGTGGAAGAAAATTCAGCATGACTGAGGCCCTCAGTGCTAATTGCATGGAAACTTTCTACAGATGAATCATATGTTCATGCCTGTAATGATTCAAATTTCCACATATATCCTCCATTTTCTGTTTAAAACATATGATTTAATGGAAGACAAATATTTGGACAAGGCTAATAAGAGTTGTGGTAAATAGTTTTCCATACTTGTATATTGGAATCCAGTATAAAATTTCATAGTACGCCAAATTTGTGGTTGTGGCAGCAGGGAGGATGATGCAAATACAGCCACATTGGGACATAGGTGAACAGACGAGACAAAATTCATCTGCCAATAGTTTGTCCAGAGAAGAGTGAGGTGATGCATTTTGGCAGAAGTGATAGAGAGAAGCAATAAAAAGTTAATGATACAGTTCAAAAGAATATGCAGGAACAGAGGGTCCTGGTGGTTCATGCGCACAGATTCGTGAAGATTGCAAGACATATTTAAGAGAGTTCACGAAGCATGTGTGATCTTGGTTCTCATAAGTATTCATAGAATCACTACCGTATGGAAGCAGGCCATTCAGCCCATCAAGTCCACATGAACCCACCAAAGAGCATCCATCCAGACCCACCCTCCTACCCTATACCTGCATTTCCCATGGCTAATCCATCTAACCTGCACATCCCTGGACACTTGGACAATTTAGCATGGCCAATCCACCTAAGTTACACATTTTCATACTGTGGGAGGAAACCAGAACACCTGGCAGAAACCCACACAGACAGGGAGAATGTGCAAACTCCACACAGACAGTTACCCAAGGGAGGGATCGAATGTGGGTCCCTGGTGCTGTGAGGCAGCTGTGCTAACCATGGTGCCACCCCTGTGGTGACCTTCATGTCACAAAACCAGAGATAAAAGGAAGAAAGACAATTAACCCATGGACTGGGTTCAACTTTGATTCATGAATTAAAACCTTTGACTACAACGAGGAACAAAATCTTAAGGAGTTTCCTCCACCTGCTCCAAATGCCCATAACAGGTCAAGAGCATGGGATGGAAAGGTAGCCAAAAATTGAGGAACTACAATCTATCACACTCTGTGTATATGTGGAATGTGGATTCATCCAGACCGTAAGTGATAAAAACAGCCTGGGTGCTTGTGAAATTACATACACAAGATTTATTAGCACTGCACCTTTTAGATTTTAGATTTAGAATCCCTACAGTGTGGAAACAGGTCCTTCGGCCCAACAAGTCCACCCAGACCCTCACAGCATCCCACCCAGATCCATTCCCCGATAACCTACCTGATCTACATGTCCCTGAACACTATGGGCAACTTAGCATGGTCAATCCATCCAGCCTGCACGTCTTTGGACTATGGGACAAAACCAGAGGAAACCCACGCAGACATGGGGAGAACGTGCAAACTCCACACAGACAGTTCCTGAGGCTGGAATCGAACCTGGGTCCCTGGCACTGTAAGGCAGCAGTGCTAAACACCTTGCAACACCCTTCATGCCAAATCCCTGAAAATACATGGAATGATTCCCACATATAAAACCTTTGATTGAAAATGCATGTATCCAGACAGAAAACAGTTAACGTTTTGGGTCCGGTGACCCTTCCTCAGAACTCATTGTTTTCTTCACAAATGCTGCCAGATCTGCTGAGCTTCCATCAACTTCTGTTTTTGTTCCTGATTTACAGCATCCGCAGTTCTTCCAGTTTTTATTTAATACCCCTCTGAACAGAGTCAAATGGATTGAGGGAATTTCTAAGAGAAGCAGAGACACCAAATAATACTTCAAGACCTCTGAACCAATGGGAAATTCTGTTTGCAGTGACTTCTGATCAAATAGGGTCACCTCGGTCCTCAGCACATCTAGGTGGACTCAGGACAGAGATCAACCTATGGTTCCTGGATGGTGTTGCTCACACGCTGGACAAAGAACCAGCACATTTTCTGCTGATGGCACTGGGAGCATCCATACTGCTTCTCTGCTGTCCAAAATATCCCATAACTCTGGTTACTTGGTCCTCCTCTCTACCAACCTTTTGTCACCTTGTCAAAATCAACCAGATTGAGGTGTACACTTTTATATACCTTTGCTCCTGAAAGTTGGTCACCAACACCAACAGGGGACAGCTCCAGCTAGAAAGAAATATTTTCCAGACCCTAATCAGATCCCAGTAAAAGATAGGCAGCTTCTGCAAGAATGCTGAGTAAAATTCTTGCTAGGTAGTGGCAAGTTGCCTATTAAGACAGATTATTGCCTGTTAAAAACCTTACCAGTTGCACATTTTTCTTCATTAATATGCAGCTTCCCATCCTACCACCCACCTCAAGCAAACCAGACAGACAGAATTCTTGAGAGGGAAGTCAGAGCAGGAATCTGGAAACTTTAGCTCATTGCTGGACATGACAAGCCTCCTCCATGGACACCATGCAACAACATCTCAGGGTATAATCCATGGGCACCAGCTGCATGTGCCTCTCGTCAACAGAAATTGGCAACCAGCCAGGATCATCATTGCACCTCGCCGACCCACTTGCAGGATTCTTTGACAGTACAGACCTTCAGTGCAAGGTGCACTGGCAACTAGTCTTGAACAGTTGCTGCAAGGACAGGAAAGGCACCCGGCTCATGCATTTGGTCAGGTTGTACTTTAAGATGCTCACTTGCTGTCCAAGCACACATTCAGTTTGTTGGAAATTGGTGTCCTCGTTACAACTGAAATTCTTTTAGTGTTTTATATTGAGAATTTTCTGCATAGCCTGAGTAAGTGGCCTTCTGCAAATATAAACAGATCTCCTGCATATGAAAACAAAGGAAAGGTTATAACTTAGGTCAAAGATTTATCAGGTGCCACACTACCCTATTATCAGTGCAGTGTTTTGAAAAAGAAGAAGTTTTTGATCTTAAAAGGTATGAAAACTAACCTTAAATGAAGGTGGGCGAGGAGACATTGGTCAACCTGACGTCATAAGTAGCTGTTTGTGCTCACTGGCCAAGAGGATTTAGACAGGTGATTGACACAGCAGAGATGGCCAATCCCCAAAATAATGTATGTCAACAGGGCTAGCTGGGGAGAGAGACAGAAAGAGAGGATCCAAGGAAATGAGCCATTATCTTCTTGGGAGAAAACCAGGAGTTTGCCTACATCAGCCCAAAGGAAGGACAAAATCTGTTACCACCAAAGACGGCAAGACATCAGAGATGAAAACTCCACTTCTCCAAAATCGCTGGCCCTGCTCCTCCATTCTACATAACGGCTTAAGGAACGGTGAAGCAAGGTGTATACTGTGAGCTGCGTTCACTGTCATCACTACCTGTTCTCTAATTGCGAAATAGCCAACT